ATTTTCAGCATCAGGACCATCCCCTCCTTTTCGAATAGATGCTTTCCACCATCCCCTCCCCCCACAACTGCCACCTTGATAGGATGTTGTTGCTTCCATTCACTGATGCTAATTCTCAACAGAACAGTAGAATGTCAACATGCTCATTTTTCTGAGTAGATGAAGAAAAGGGTACCCTGAGTATAAGGATCTATCAAGGGCAGATCAGAAATAAGTGAAGGACAGCTCATAAATCCTTTTTTCAGTGCCACTGTAATTTCAAAGAGTTGCTGAATGAATGGTTTTAATTCGAGGACTACCTGTACAAGCAGGCAGCCTGGATTTCCTTCGCAGCCTTCACCTTCTTAAGGCCCGTGGGAGCGGTCTAAACCTTGGGCAAAGGCTCAGCCACGCCAACCTTCCTGGAATGATCCAGGCTTTGAATTCAGCCTCACCTTGTCCTGAAAGTTCTCGCTAGTCCATCCTTCTGACAGAGTTCAGAAGGAGAAAACGTCCTCTTGACTTGGAGAGTTTGATTCCTGTTCCCTCCTTACGTCAGTGTTCAGCTAAGCTCCCTTTCCCAGTTTGCAAGGCGGGGCACTTGGCCCAACCTGCCTTTTCAAATTCAGTTCACGGTATGCAAAATTCTGCTATGAAGCAATAGGGTTGACTCCTTTGTGGGGCCGCATCTCCTGAACCGCGGGAGGAACCTCCAGGAACAGGTGGCAATTTTGTTCATAGGGCGAATTCATTCCAGAAATCTCACTCTTGGTCATCTTGAAGCTGAGGGGACGGGGGTCCACCCAGAAAGTCTTAAGGGTGGACGATCACTCCAAACAGGAGGGAGTGAGATAACTCTGGGCTAATAAAAGTCCTGGCAAGGAAAAGTAGACCCGGTTCCAAATGCCACCGTGAAGCTTCAGCTGGTATGACATGAGGTTTCTTGGAAATCTCACCTTCTCTTCCTATTTTCTGAACACGAGATCACGTCGTTGGTGGAGGGGGCAGGATCTTCCTTCCTTCCCATTTTCCAGAAGAGAAAACATCTTTGCACCAACATTATCACTTGAACTACTGAATCACACAAATGTTTGGAGTGAATTCGGAACCTTTTCTGATTCTTCACCAACTCCACTCTGGAATTTGGGTTAATTATCCCCAACAGGGAAGCTGGTACTTCCAGGTTTCAGATGTGGAAACATTCCCAGCTTTGTGGATTTGCAATTTCTCTTCCACTGCTTCAAATTCTTCCAGACTTGAGAATCTTTCACAGATGGTAGAAGGGATTAAAAATAAGAATGACGTATCGATTGAGTGGCTGTAGAAAAACTGAAAGAGGAAGGAGGAAATAAGATATGTTTGCCACCTTGAGTTATTTATAAAAATAATAAGGGTGGGATAAAAAAAATCTAAATCAAATATATCATTTGGCAATAAGTCACAACTGCTCATCTAATCATGTTCACCGAGACTAATCCCAGCCAAATATTACTACAATGCATACTCAATTTTCAAATTAATGTGATATGAAGATAGTAAGGGTTGCACGCCCTGTCTTAAAACCTTGTTTCCTTCATGAAGTGCAATAAAAAGCTGGTTTCTGGAAAAGCTAATTTCAGGCAGCTTCCTGGTAGCCAAGCCCATCACTAAGACATTAGCAAACTGACAAGGTCAAAACAAGAATGTTTAACAGATAAAAACTTAATCCCCTGCAGTTTATCTAGAATAAACCTCACAGGACTCCACGGTCTTCAAAGCAGGCAGATTTGTATTTTTAACCACAAATTCAGTTAATTGATCTGTATTTAAATAAAGGTGCATCCTATGAAATTTCTCACCTCTCTGTTGGATTGAAAACAGTTTAAGAGAGCGAGAAAAGGTAACTTCCATTCTAACCCCAACCGCTGCCTTGCAGAGAAAGGGATCAGGTGGGCCAGCCAGGCCCGATTTCAGGACCCCAACAGTCGGGGTGGAACCTGTTCAGAATGGAGCTGGGAGCTTGTGACAATCTCCAAACTGCAGGCTGGACTAGGAAGTCCAAAATGTAGCCAGGACTAAGGCAACTGCAGGCCACGTCTTTCCAACTGGCAAGATCACAACATGGTTGTGCCCCTGAAGGCATCAGGAAGTGAGCTCAAGCAGAAGAATGTATTGTTAGAAAGCATAGTAGAAAATACTTTTTTTTAATTTTGAGATACAGGATACAAACGTTTTGGAGCCAGTAAAGCAGCAAGCACTCAAGTCTACAAGAAAATTGGAATTTCACCAACACCGAATTCTTCTGACTGGCAAATCAAGGTGTCTTGCTTATTAGAAGACTGTTGATCCATTTGTTAATTAATGACGGCCTCCAGACTTTCAGATGAAAGCAACTGTTTTAGGAGGTTTGCTACTCAGCGGGAGCAGCCCACCAAGCAGAACTGGTGCGAGACCAAATACATAATTACACGATTGAAATCCCACCCCCTCCCCAATTCTTCCCTAAAAATCAGCCCTTGCAACGGAGGTGCCACCATGGCGGTTTTTCTCCTTTCTTTTCCCCACCATCTTCGGTTCTCATGCTGAAAACACCACACACACACACACCACTGAAGACCACAAACAGCTGCAGCTGCATGACATGACAGCACATCTTTTAATCCCAGGAAGTAGAGAAGGTGCCTCACTCCCTGCAGAGAAGGCTATTTGGCACCACCTGGGCAGCCAGGTAAACACACCTGATCCAGGATGAGCCTTCTAAGTCTTGACATCCAAATGAAAAGCTCAAATACGCTCAGACCTTTGCTGTGCTGATCACAAAGCCCAAGGGCTGCTTTTGATCTGGGCTCTAAGACAGCTGAGTTTAAGCACATCTGGCCAGGTTGAGAGTCCAGCTAGAGAAGCAGCATTTTCCCTTTCATTCATCCAATCCTGGAACTTTCACCCCACCAGGAAAGTAGACCTGTGGTGGGTCTCCTACCTACCCTGCATCTCGGGCAAATCAGGCGCCTTGGCCAGTCTGCAATGGTGACCATGCTGGACACTTAGAAGGGCTAATTCAAACTCTTCTACGGTGCCAGGACTTTCCTCCATGAACTTTCTAGGTTCGTTCCTCTTTTGTGGACGCCAACTGAGAAGGACTGAGGCCATAGACAGATTTTGGGGGATTTTTCAGGGACCGTTCAGTCTTAGAGTCTGGGGTTAAAGACTGTATGTCCCCACTTGCTTGAAACTTGGGAGCAAAGCTGTAGGATGGGGTCTCCCCAAAGCATTGAGATGTCCACCGTGTGTGGGAAGATAGAGCTTCCAAGTTCTACCCCTTTGCACACCCCACTCCGTTATGCCAGTTCGTTGCCCCACAATCGACACATCCTGAAAGATTCCTGGCCAAAAGCTTTTTAATCAGCATATTTGCTCTCATTTACTGTTCACATTTCTCCATCTGCTATGCATCTCATTATTTTCTTTCCAAGGTTGGAAAGGATGAATCGTCCCAAAACGTGGCATACAGGTGTTCTCATAGTGGCTGTGTGCATTTAATTTTCTTATTACATTCTTTTTAAACTTTAGAATTCACAGCCTGCTTGAGAGGCCTCTGTTTAGAAAATGTAAAGTCTCCATTAAACAAGACCACTTTCAAAGCCAACCAGGTGGATTCCGCTGCCTCTTGTGGCAAAGAGTTCCAGCACCACTTGTTGTCCTGTACACACAACCGTGCTCCCTTGTCTCTGCCCTGGATTGCCAGCCTGGCCAGGAGACTGGGCAACCCAGGGTCCCAAAGGGGGTGGCAAAGAAAAAAAACTCTACTCTCTTTTCTGCCCAAGTTGCAGGAAGGGCTCCGAGCTGAGGCAACTCTAGCTACCTCTTGCTGGGCACAAAGGAGGGGATTCTCCTGCCCCCCCCCCCCCCAGAAAGGCTGTTGGCACATACACAACAGTTGCTGGTGACTCCGCTGGCTCTGCACGCCACTTTCCCTCTGAGCAGCCGTCACGAGGGAGCCGCCGGTGCTGCAATACCTTGCCCGGGCAGGAAGGGCTGGCGGATGACCCTCCCCGGCCGGACCCCTGGCAAAGGGAAGGAGGCGGCAGGGGCTCCGGGGGCCAATGAAGCAACCGGGGGGGGGCGGTGGCTGCTCCTGTGTCGGGCTTCGAAGTGAGCAAGCAGGTCAGCTGAGTGTGCAGCGCGTCTTCGGAGGCGCGTGGGAGGCGCGGGGCGATTTGCATTTTATTTTTTTTAAGCACCCAAATTTTTTTTATTGAACATTTTTAAATGTTTTACAATATAACTCCCCACCTCCCTCAAACCCCACCCTTCCCCACCCCCCTCCCTCCCCCCCCGACTTCCCAGAGCTACACACAGGGTTTACAATACAATAATTATACTCTGTCTTACATTATATTAACTTTAAGTTAACAATTCTATAACATCCTTTAGCTCTCTCCTAAACTAACATATTAAACATCATTATTACTAATTATTTATTTTTAATAAAATAAACTACATTTTTATTTGGGGAACCGGCACTTCGGCCATGGCGCCCCCTCCCCGCCCCCCTCCTCCGGGCTGGCGATTGGGAGACGGAAGGGCAGCCGGCGGAGAGAGTCGGGAGGGTTTGGCTATTTGGGAATGTTTGGAGGCGGGCTGGGAAAGGCAGGTGGGAGAATAAGGCCCGAAGACGGAGCGCGAAGCTGGACGGCGACCGGCCGGGAAGCGCTCTGGGGAAGAAGCCGGCGCTCGTCTCAGCTGCCTGCCGGGCAGGACCCGGGCGTCGTGGGAAGACTGGCACGAGAGCCCGGCCAAGCTGGTGGGGGGGGCGACTCGGGGCCAGCGGAGCCCCCCGGAGCAGAAGCCTCCGCGCTCGCTCTGCTGCGCACCTGCCGTCCCGTCCCGCCCCGCCCCTGTCCCCTCCCCGCCCTCTCGGCTCCACCTGGCCGGTCCCGGGGAAGGCGGGGAGGAGGGGGAAGAGGCTGGATGGGACGGGACGGGCTCGCCGGGCGCTATAAAGGCTCCCACCGGGCGGCTGCGGCCAAGAAAGGAGCGCGATGGGTTGGCCCCGGCTGCCCAACTGTCTGCGCTGCGGCCAGAAGGTGAGCGGGCGAGGAGGAGGAGGAGGAGGAGGAGGAGAGGAGGAAGGGGGCGCGGGGACTGTCTGCTCCCAGCTGTCCGTCCCGACTGGGAGTCCCTGGCGGCAGAGACGGACCCAGAGCCGGAGACCTGCCGGGCTCCCTCGGGGCGGCGCCGGGCGCGTGGCAAGCCGAGCGAGCAGCATCCTCGGCGGAGGGCAAAGCCCCGCGCAAGAGCAGCCAGGCGGGCGCGCAAGAGGAGGACGCCGGGCGCAGCGCTTGGCGATCCTGAGCATCTGAGGGAAGCAGCCGGAGCTCAGGAGGCGCCAGGCGCTGCGCTGCCACCAGCCTCCCCGGGTTTGGGCGCCCAGGTTCCCCCGCAGGAAAGCCCCCCCCCGCCGCCTGGGAGGTCACCCTCTGGCGTCCCTTCTTGGGTGCAGCCCCTGAAGGCGCGTCCAGGCAGGAGCGAAAGAGGGGCCGAGCACGCCTTGGGGGGCAGCCCCGGCTCAGGTGCTGACAAACCTCAAGAGCCACGCCAAGGAAGCCGGCGGCAGCTCCTAGCGGGCATCTGCCAACTCTGCTCAGCTGGCAGGATCTCTGGGCAGACCAGGGCGCGTTTTCCCTGCCCCGGGCAGGAAGGAAGCTGTTCCGACGAAGACGGGCTGACTTTCCGCTCTTCTCCTTCCAAAGGAATTCACGTTGTCCACTGAGAAGATCGCGGACTCGCAGGATGAGAACACGGAACGGGGCAACTGGTCCAGCAAAACGGACTACCTGCTGTCCATGGTCGGCTACGCGGTGGGCCTGGGCAATGTGTGGCGGTTCCCGTACCTGACCTATCAGAACGGAGGAGGTAAGGGGCCGCTCTACCCCTCCCGCAAACAAGGAGGCTTCCCCCCCTCCAGGTGGCCAAAGCTGCCCAGGGCGTCCCGGGGGTCCTTCAGCAGCCGCTCACCTGGCTGGCTAGGAGGACTTCCTTTTCCCCAGGTGAGCAGATACAGCCCACCCAACCCTTAGATCAGGGTCTCCGAGCTTGGCAACTTTAAGACTGGCGGACTTCAACTCCCAGAATTTCCCAGCGAGCACAAGTCTGAAAGTTGTCAAGGTTGGAGACCCCTGCCTTAGATCTCAAAGGCCCCAGAGAGACACCGCAAGGCTTGTGGCCTGTTACGATTTGGGTCTTCTTGGCAAGGCTCATCCCGTAGATCTTTGTGGGCGTTTCCCCATTTCTGTTTTATAGAAACCCTTCGCCCTGGAGCCTTAGTAGGCTTGGAAGTGGGTGGTCGAGGGGACCCTCTGTTCGGGCTACCAGGGCTGAGACTTTGCCACGCTCCACACTGTGCCCTAAGGCCGTTCTTTCACCTGCCCTTATCCTATCTCCCTCTTCCCCCTTTTCTGAGTGTTGGGTCGGGAGATGGGGGCACACCAGGAGGCAGAACATTGAGGGGATATTCCGGATCCTCAGCTGTTTGGAAACTTTGCATCTGCAACTTCTGAATGTCCAGATGTGCCCAGATAGCTACGATGTGGAGCCGAAGGCTTGGTGCAAACCGAGGGCTCAAGTTCTGATTCCGTGCTCTGCTGGGCCTTTTTCACAGAGACCACAACCCAGTGACCCCTCCCTCTAAGAGCTGGGCTGTCCTTCTCTTCCGCTGACCTTGAGGCCTCAGCCAGAGACTTTGGGGTTATGGACCCTGTGCTCAGCTGGAAGGTTTTATGGCTGCCCTCTCTTTTCTCCTCCCGTTCATTGACTTCTCTGTGTCCTTTTTGATTCGAAAGGTAGAAAATAACAATAGGAGCAACTGTTATGCACACCCAGAGGACTAGAATGGCTTGGGAACGTGGGGTACACTCAACCCTTTTCACTCAAGAGTGCCCAGGTTCATCCCATTCATTATGCAAATGTGCCAAGTGCGTGAAGAAAGCCGGGGACTGTCCCTGAGGTGGAAACCAAATCCACACGCACACCGGTATTGGCACGAAATCAAGTTTCAGCTGTTCTGCAGGATGAACAGAGTCGTGCTTGGGATGCAGTCACCCCTCCTCTCTAAACCAGTAGGCAGCTGCAAGACAAATGCTGGTTCCCCCAAATGCTTGGCTGTTTGAGGATCTCTGCCCATCACAATTAGTAACTGGTCTTTCCTTGCACAGACTGGTGCCTTGGACAGAAGTATTGGCTTGTGATTGTGGCACATGCCCACGCTGGATTTGAGAAAGGTAGAGGGCTGAATTCTCACCCGATGCTGCTCTCTTGCAGGAGCCTTCCTGATCCCCTACACCATCATGCTGGCCCTGGCCGGCCTCCCTCTCTTCTTCATGGAGTGCTCCCTGGGACAGTTTGCCAGCTTGGGACCCGTGTCAGTTTGGAGAATTCTCCCTCTACTTCAAGGTCAGTTCTGTTCTTCGTCCTGGTATTTTTCTGGACAGACTCCTGGGAAAGTCTCTTTCTGTAGCACTTAAGTTTGAATCTCAACTGTGGGGTCCTCGGTGCTCTTTGAGCTGGGTGGGGTTTTTGTACAGACCTTTCATTACCCAAACTAGGTAACATCATCAGTGCTGGAAGGGGGGGGGGTTGCTCTCAGCTGAAGTTCTAGTGGCTGGCCCTGCCGAGGTGTTCAAGGTTCTTAGGTCGGGCTGTTTACTGTTGGCTGTTTGGCGTTCCTTGATTTCTTTTCAAAAGTGGGGAGACGTCTCAGACAGGCCAAGAGAGGAACGGTTTGGGTCCCTCTGAAGACAAAGGTTCCTCCCCCAAAGCCAAGCCAACGTGGCATGGGGCCCCCCAGGTGCATGTTTCCCGAGGCGTGGGGGGGCAGGGCTGGGCGGTTCTGCTCCAACCAGGCGTTTTGTGCAGATTCTCTGTGAACCGATCTTTATCTTTGTTCCTTTTTTTGCCCACTTCTTCTTTGAAGGATTGCACCGTGTCTCCCACACTGCTTTCTGGGCTTTGCTATGGATCTCAGGTGAAACAAGGAAACAGCCTGCAGATCTCCTAAGCATACAGTACCTGCAATCTGAACCCTATTGTGTTTTCCTCCTTGACGATAACACACAGGGTTCTCGTATCAGCTTGATTGTCCGTATGAAAAAGTAATGCTGAGAAACATCTCATATGGACATTCAGGACAATACATTTGTTTTGGCTACAACACAGGTTGCCCGCAATTGTGTTATCCTCAGGGGAAAACAAAAAAGCGGACCCCACCTTTGTGCATTCATCAAAGCTTGCAGGTCTTTGAGCTAACCAGGTGGCTTGCCTCAGTCTTTACAATGCTTTCCTTCCATAGCAGCAGGTTGGCTCCTAGGAGCTCAGAAACACAACACGTCTCCTGATGGTCTGGCCTTTTTTCTCTTTCTGACCAGGTGTGGGAATCACCATGGTGATTATCTCCACCTTTGTGACCATCTATTACAACGTCATCATTGCCTACAGCCTCTACTACTTGTTCGCCTCCTTCCAAAGCGTCCTGCCGTGGGACGAATGCAACCCGGAGTGGGCAGACCAGAAATGCAGCAAGACAATCCGTAAGTCTCCGGGAAAGCCAAGAAGTCCTCGGCCCGGCCAAACCCCTCGGTTTCAATCCTTCCATGTGCAAAGCCAGGTGCCCCATGCAGAGCAGAGATTAGAGCTGCTTCCCTTTCCTTTCATAATAAAACCACATGGCTGATTTCCAATCTGAGCTGGAGGCAGCATCTGGGGTGGGGACATGCAAATGAGGAGGTGGGGTTATGCAAATGAGCACAGATTTAATCATCACCAACTATGGATCCTCAAAGAGCTAGACAGGGAAATGCATGTTTTGCACCTGTTTTAGTTCCTCGTATTATTTCCCATCTTTTCTTACTATCCTGTGTTATTGCACATCTTCAAATGGAAGCGGTTTTCATTCCTTTCATTTGCAGTTTGACTAACAAGCCCGTGTCAAGGGGTAAAATCCTATTCAAAGGGAATTGTAAGAATTGGTCCCATCAGGCCAAAGGGGGTCTTCAGACTTCTTTGCTTTGCCAAAATTGGGAGGGGGTGGTCACATGTTTCAACAGTTCATAACAGTAACATGGAGAATAAAAAGCAGAAAAAGTAAAGCCTGAAGCAAAAGCCTTGTGCTACAGACTTATAAACCTGGAACTTTGCTAGCAAATAAATTAAAGCAAAACTGCCAGAAATTATAAACCCCCACTGGGAAGCCATTTCTCTACACCTTGTGACTGCCTCTTCTTCCTCTCCTTCAAGTGTTCCTGTGCAATGTCACGATGGGCAACACAAGCGTCCAGATGAATAACACAGAAGTGGAGAGGCAGAACCTTACCTGCATCAACAACACCCAGGTGATTGTAGATACGCAGGTTCCCAGCGAGCAGTATTGGAAGTAAGTGTTAATTGGGGACAACCTGCCAGGCAACTTGCATTGACCTTCCCTGCCCAACTTTGCTTGCTAGAAATCCTGACATCTCCAGGAAAGGCTGTGAAAGACACTCCCTCAAACCTTGTTTCGGATTGTTGTGCGGTGCCCAGAGTCGCCTTCGCCTCGGGTTAGTTGGGTGGCCATATAAAAGTGATAAACAAGCAAACCTTGGGAGGCTCCCTACCCGCTGCTCTACAGCAGGGCTGTCCACACTTGGCAAATTTAAGTCTTGTGGACTTCAGCTCCCAGAATTTCCCAGCCAGCCATGGTCCACGAGTCTTAAAGTTGCCAAGTTTGGAGAGTCCTGCTCTAGAGTAGCCTTTTCCAACCATGGCAATTTCCAGATGTGTGGACTTCTGGGCAAGTTGGAGAATGCTGGGAATTTAATCAACCTTTCTCAAGGTTGTCCAATTCTGGACACTCTACAGTAGATAGAACTGAACAATCAGACAGGCTGGGTCCTTCGTGAGAACATGGTGGTTGCAGTCAGATTCAAATAGGAGCTGGAGGGGAAGAGAGAAACAGGCCTATCACTAATTATCTGCCCCAAATAGTAGGGATGGTGGAGGGGGAGCCTTTCCTGAGTGAACGAGGACCATGGGATTCAGCTTGGGGCGCATGCTGGCTTCTCTGGAGATATTCTAGCCCAGGAGTGCACATCTACACCAGTTTCCCCAAAGCAAGTCTTTCCTGCATGAACACCGGAAACACAATGCTCTTTGCAGAGCTGTTAGTTGCACCGTGACTGGTGTGGCCCATCATATATTTCTCTGATGATGTCTGAATCATACAGAGCCATGAAAGCAGAGGGACAGTATGAGACGCTGCAAAGGTGTGTGTGGGCAGATGTGCAAGTTGGAGAGAAGCTTCTCTGCCTCCAGAAACATACCCTGCCTCGCAGCCACTTAAAGGCAGGAGAAGGGAGCCTGTAATCAATTCTACAAAACCCAGAAGGCCGTGTGGGGAAGACCGAGACAAGCTGAGCAGGACTGCAACCCAAAGGGAAACTAGGACTTGGGCTAAGATCAAGTGTCTTAGGTCAGCATGGGAAACCACAGTTCCCAGGAGTCCCAAACAAAACGGCCAGAGCTGAGGAATGCTGGGGATTGTGGTTAGGCAGTATCTGGAATGCCACCCTCCTCCAGCTTTTCTCCCCAACTCAATCACACCCCAAGTTGATTCTGGCTCAACCACAGAGCAAGCTGAGTTTCACCCATCCTGGTTGAGGCTGCACCGCCTTGCTCATCCATCTCTCCTTTTCCTCTGGCAGCAACAAAGTCCTCCAGCGGTCGGATAGCTTAAGCGACACCGGGGTGATCGTGTGGTATCTGGCGCTTTGCCTCCTCCTTTCTTGGCTGATCGTGGCTGTTAGCTTGTTCAAAGGGATCAAGTCTTCTGGGAAGGTAATTTCAGGGGAGCCACATGGCCCTTGGATGGCCGACTGCTGCCTGTGCCGTAGGATTCTCATTTCACCAGCGGCAGCCTTGGAATATGGGGCTATTTCAGGCCTCTTTCCTCAACTTCAACCTTGGGGTGAAGAGGATCCTCGGAGAGCATGTGCCAGAGTAGCTGAGAGTGCCCATGAGCTAAAGTGGAGGGTGGCGGAAGGCCCAGGCGCTTGGCACGTGGCTGCAATAGAGCAGCTGAGGCTCTGGATTCAGAGCAAAGAACTGGTTCCATGGCATTCCAAGGGCATGAAGGATTTTCCAAAGTGCCAGGAGAGATGCCAACTCCCTTCCTGTTCTGGCCACCTTGGAGGCGCTGTTGGGCGGGCCCACTAAGGAAAGAGCCTGGAAGTAGTCAAGTCTAGGGCAATTTGATGTGACTTTCGGGTCCTCCCTGCAAAGAATTTGGCAGGTAATTCTGTGGGTGCAGGTTTGATGGTCACTTGATCTACAGACTTTTCCTGGAGGAGATTCCAAGCTTACTAAAAGGACTTAATTTTCTGTAGAATATTACCTCTAGGAGTATCTGCAGAGTAAGAAGGGAGAAATGGATGGCACATGCTGGTGTTGTCACAGTCACAACACAAAACAGAAATTCATGCTTGAGACATCTGCATTGCAGATACAGCTCAGAGGCAGGTCATCTGTCCTGCTTGAAGATAGCTCAGGTTGTATCTCTTGAATCCTTAGTAAGAAAGGATCAAACAGCAGGCAGGATGTCTCCTAAGAGGAAGCTTCAATTTGCAAGACGGCAAGACCTTCATTGCAATCAAAGCCCCACTCAGCATCTTGTAGATTTTGATCCACGCTCTGCAGATACCCCATCAGGAGGGCATGAGTGGGAAGGCCACAGATGCTGCAGCATTCAGTGACGATCAGATTCCCCACCATTGCCTGTATCTGAATTTGGAAACTCATGTTGTTGTTGCTTAAAAAAAATAAAATTAAAAAAATATTCCCTTGGTCTTCCCAAACTTCTGTCTGACCTCTTTCTGAATCAGTGTTGTTTCTCCTTGCAGGTTGTCTACTTCACAGCCATCTTCCCTTACGTTGTCCTGATTATACTGCTGGTGCGAGGTGCCACCTTGGAAGGTGCCCGCGAGGGGATTGAATACTACATCGGGACCCAATCTAATATTACCAAACTTGTCGAGGCAGAGGTTGGTACCCCCCAGCTCATGGAGGGCAGCTGGAATGGAACATGTGTGTGTGTGTGTGTGTGTGTGTCTGTGTTAGTCCTCTAAAAGACAGACAAACAAAATTCTTTAACCTTCATCTTAGGTCCTAATTTTACACAAACAGAGTTATCTTGCCAGGAGGCATCCGTTAGTTAATCTCAGACAAGCTAAGCAGGTTTGGGCTGGAGTAATACTTGAATGAGAGACAAAAGGAAAGCTCAGTTGGGGAACTGAGAAACAAAACAAAAGAAAAAAATGGAAGAAAACTTTCATGCTTTGGCCAAGAAACCCCTGTGGATCTCTGCCTGCCATCACCAATAATCTACCAGCTGAGCACCTTATTGTAAGAATTAACACCTTAATGGGGTAGGTTGAGTTTTATGACCAAATAGGAAAAGAGCTCCATCAAAATAAACTAATATTCATATTCTTAATAGCAATAGCACTTAGACTTATATACCGCTTCACAGTGCTTTACAGCCTTCTCTAAGCGGTTTATAAAGTCAGCATATATGGCCCCCAACAATCTGGGTCCTCCTTTTACCGACCTCGGAAGGACAGAAGGCTGAGTCAACCTTGAGCTGGCGAGAATCAAACTGCTGGCAGTGGGCAGAATTAGCCTGCAATACTGCATTCTAACCAGTGTGCTGCCATGGCTAATAATAATTGTAATATTTATAATGGCTTATGTAGCATGCACCATCCATGGTTAAGTAGGTGGGATTGCTAGAGTGACTCCCTACGTTTCTTCCTTTTCTTTCTTCAAGGTGTGGAAAGATGCAGCCACGCAGATCTTCTTCTCGCTCTCTGTCGCCTGGGGTGGGCTGGTCGCCCTCTCCTCCTACAACAAATTCCACAACAATTGCTACGCAGATGCCATTTTCGTCTGTGTGACCAACTGTTGCACCAGCGTCTTTGCCGGCTTCGCGATCTTCTCCATCTTGGGGCACATGGCCTTCAGGGCCAACAAGCCCGTCTCCGAGGTTGTCGATTCAGGTGAGCTCATCCCGTTGGGCCGCTGCGTCTGAGGTGAGCTTCTGGCCTCTTTCAGATCTTCAGATGGGTTTTTTAAAAAACGTGCTTTGTTTTGGATTCTGTGTGCAAACAATAGAAAGACGCTTTCCAAATCTCCAAATGGAGTCCAGACCTTTCCAAAGAATGTCTGGACTGCATTTGAAATTGAAAATCTGGAAGCTTCTGGTTAGTTTTGACCCTTCAGGTTGTAGCTGAAATTATACTCAGAAATCCGTATCTTGTCCAGACAATCAGATTGAATATTTGTACTGGAGTCAATAGCCAGCATGGGATTTGCTGTCAGACTCTGGATTTCTGATCACATGGGAAACCAGAGCTGGATTCAGATGTGATCCAGGATGACTCTTTTTACCCTTCAAATTTGATGTAACACTTAGATCATTTCACTAAATGTGATCTTCTCCACCCAGCTGTCTCCTGTCTGGGCTGGGCTCTTCTAAGTTCACCTCCCATTTCTGCCAAACTGCTGGAGGGTGAGAGCTGAACCCAAACACACCTGGTGGACACCTCCATCATCACAGAAAGCTGCCCTAATTGGCCTCAGTTGACTGCTGGCTGTTCACACAGATCTCTATTTCCACGAGAAAGAACGTTTTCTGATGGCATCTTTGATTTTGCTCCCTGGCAGGATTTGACCTAGCCTTCGTGGCCTACCCCGAAGCCCTGTCCCAGCTCCCAGTGGCCCCTCTCTGGTCCTTCTTGTTCTTCTTCATGCTTCTCCTTCTGGGTCTCGATTCCCAGTTTGCCACCATAGGTGAGTATCAATTAAGGCAGAGAGGACCCACCTCACGATGTGATGATGCTTCGTCTTGGTCAAAAGGATTGTGTAGAAACTTCCTAAGAGTGAGAACAATTAGCCAGTGGAACAGCTTGCCTTCAGAAGTTGTAGGTGCTTCATCACTGGGGTTTTTTAAGAAGAGACTGGACAGCCACCTGTCTGGAATGGTATAGGTTCTCCTGCTTGAGCAGGGGGCTGGACTAGAAGACCTCCAAGGTCCCTTCCCACTCTATTCTGATTGAATTGATTGAATTCGGTCTGGATGACATGCTAGGCTGGGAATGGAAAGCTGAAAAAGCAAGCTGAAAAACCAGTGAAAAGGCATTCTGAAGTAACAATCGTCTAGACGCGGTTCAGGGAGGCGAAGCTGGCTGGAGCTGGCCTAAGAGCAGCAATGGCAGGACGGCCCTTTTTCCCTTCTCCTCTCCCGCTGCGGACACTAATTGTGCTCGCTCTTCGTTCTGCAGAAACCATCACCACCACCATCCAAGACATCTACCCCGCAGTGATGAAGAAAATGAGGGTGGTGGTGACGATGGGGTTGTGTCTGCTGCTCTTTCTGATTGGGCTCGTCTGTGTGACCCAGGTAGGACTCAAGGAGGGCTGTCCGCCGTGGCTGGTCCCCATCCTCCCTTACGCTGAGGTGCCAGAAGCCCCCGTGGGGGAAGTTGGAGAGCCTCTTCCTGGGGAGAAAGGCAACGTCTCACCTCTTCCTCCTCTCTCCCGCAGGCAGGAATCTACTGGGTCAACCTGGTGGACCATTTCTGTGCGGGCTGGGGGATCCTCTTTGCAGCTATCCTGGAACTGCTGGGAATTTGCTGGATTTATGGTAAATATTTGCTGGGATCTCCTCCAGCAGTTCTCCCCAAACTCCAACTGGACCCTCAGCAGCCTTTCAACCCCATCCAAGCTCTCCCTGATGAGCAGGACAAAGGTCGGCCTCAGGTGCAAAGCCTTGGAGATGCTTCCATCCAGGGCCAGCCGTCCTTGTAGGAGGCATTTGGTAGAGCAGCTGCTTGGGGGAACCTCCAAAGTTTACATGAGGCAGCAAGTGAAATGGAAGGTCCTTTTCCTACCTGAGACTCAATTCCAAGCTTTTCCATTGGGGGGTCCTGCAGATTTGGAGACTGACCCTTAGCACAATTGGAAACATCCAACGTGGGAAAGATTATCTGAAGGAAATGGGTTTTGCCAGTCCGCATAGGGTATATTTGAGCCCAGACCCCACTGTTAAAGAGACACAACTCATTTTTGGCCAGGTGTCAGGCAAAATGAGCTAATCCGTGCAGGGTATAACTCTGGGGGGGGGGTGTCGCCCCGTTGCCAAAACTCAGCACTAACTCCCCCACCCATGTGGCTGTTCTGTCCAGGGGGAAACCGGTTCATTGAAGACATCGAGATGATGATTGGGAAGAAAAGCTTCCTCTTCTGGCTGTGGTGGAGAGCCTGCTGGTTTTTCATCACCCCTTGCCTCTTGGTGGTAAGTAGCCCAGAGACCTCAAGGGCTTGGAGGGAGAAAGCCTTGGGGAGCCCAAAGAATGCCCCATGGAGACGCGTCTTGGTTGGGAGGGCCATTATTTGCCTAAAATTACACGCCTTCCAAAAACAGCAGCTCCTGTTCCTCCTAAGTACATCATTCTATGAATGCCAATCATTTTCTAAGCAAAAGAAAACCAGCCACGACCAGCAAGCCTGGAAGAAAACCAAAGTTTGCAAGATGGAAGGAACAGAGGCTGGGAGCGAACCGTCTCTGCCCACTGTGACCAATCCTTCTGTGAAGTTCCTTCCCCTAAAAGGGTGGAGCTCTCCTTTGTGGCTCTCCTCCAAGACAAAATTCACAGCTATCTTGGAACCTGGCTTGATCTCACACACACACACACACACAAACACAAACACACATCCACAGAATGTTTTGTCTTTGACACTCGGCAAACTTTGGTTGAGAACAAAAAGTCAATGGGCCAAATTCTGCATGCCACAGGTAGGCTGCCTCTTTGCTGGGGGTGTTTGCTCTTTGAACGGCAGAATCCTGGACTTGGTGAGGTTCAGCAAATACACCAATAATTGCTGGCCAAGTTTGGAGAAAGATAAGCTACCCACTGAGGGAGGGAGGGAGGGAGGGAGGGAGGGAGGAAGGAAGGAAGGTGTTAAAATCAGAATTTTGGCAGGATTTGTGTTAAGGCTCTGATAAACTGGATTGTCATCTGCTCCTTCCACCTCCCAGGGGCCCAGAAGTTAATTGTGGTTCCTTTAGGCTCAGTTTTTGACCACCAGAATCTGAATATCTTGTGTAAGAGATGCTGGCTGTGCATGATGGTGATTGAAGTCCAGTACATCTGGAAGAGAGGCTTGCTTTGCCCGAAGCTGCATGTTCAACCTCTCATCTCTCTCTCTCTCTTCTCTCAGGGCATCCTGGTTTGGTCCCTGATGACTTTTTCGCCCCCCACGTATGGCAAGAAGGAGTACCCAGAGTGGGGATCTGCCGTCGGCTGGTGCATGATCGTTTTCTGCCTCATCTGGATCCCGATAGTGGCCATTTACAAGATCTCCAGGTCCAAAGGCAACCTGTGGCAGGTGAGTGCTGGTGGGGGGCGAGAAGGCGAGGCTGGTGGTGGGTGGCAGAAGGACCCCAGAGCCCCCAGGAGACAAGCAAAGCCCCTGAATTCCACCTCCTCCTCCTCCTCCTTCCAGCGCATCGTCTCCTGCTGCAAGCCCAAACCCACCTGGGGGCCGTCCCTGGAGTGTCACCGGGGAGAGCGGTACAAGGACATGGTGGATCCAGTCAAGAAAGAGGACGTCGAGATCCCCACCGTGGACGGCTACATCCGCAAGCTGGAGTAAAGGGGGGGGCTGCTGCAGGCTGAGGGTCCCACTGAACCCCCAGCGAAATCCATGCAGCCGAAGGGACTCCGTGCAATGGACGCCAAAGACCTGGACCGTCTGCCAGGGAGCCACGCCTGGGAGGCTCTGCTGCTGAGGGAGGCCAGGCCGTGGTGGGGGGCAGCCTTCTAGCTCAGGACCACCCTCTGGAGGTGGGGGTTGGGACCCCCACCCCGCCAGGCCCCATCAACCCCAAAACACAAAACCCTAAACTCTCCTCTGGCAAGGCGGAGTGCCCTCCCTCGCAGGGGTGTGGTGATGAAGAACACACTTCAGCGATCCTGTAAGCATCTTCGGAGCCATCAAAGTATCTGGGACTGGAATCCTTTGCACACTTCATTGGATGTGAAGCCCATCCTAATTCAGGGAGACTTTCTGTGTGTCAACGGGGCAAGCACCGCCACACAACACTCTGGACGGGTATGCACACGTATCTCTGTGTGTGAGAGACAGATGCTGCACCTGGCATTTTATTTGCATAATTTATTCCTGGGATTTTATTTGGGATGTAATTTATTATTTTTTTGCTACCTTGGAGGGAAATTTCTGAAAATCTCCCTCCCCCCACAGAGCTGGCCATCCTAAGGAGCCATCCGGATTTAGGGTAGACATTTCTCGTTCGTTTTCAAGTGTATTTCCATAGCCACAAGGACTAGAAACTTGACTTAGAAGCGGAACTCGCATCCGGCATGCCACGCTGGGCCGGTAGCCCTGCTTGTTCTGGGTGCAGAGAGCTGGCTGGCCAGCTAATAAACAAATCTGTTCAGATTTTGGTTTCCATTTCGGCCGTTTCTTTTTTTCTTCATCTTCTCAAGCGGGATCTTTTCTGTCTGTCCCCATCGCCCGTCTCCTTCTCCCGGGGTGCCCAATACCTTCCTCTCTTTTCCATGAGAACGAGCAAAAAAGCTGAAACGCCTGGGGGCTTTTCCCCCCCTGGAGTCTTTAAAAAAATCGCCCTGAGAGGCCGGCCCCTCGGCCTCCCCCAAGGCAGATCCCGGGAGACCTTTGACCTCACCGGCCTCTCAGCCTTTCTTGGAGCAGATGGGGATTCCTAAATTTCTCCAGCAGGTCCCAAAGTTGAGACGGAAGGAAGGGAGGATGACTAAAGGCCCAGGAGGCCTCTGCCCTGGCGGCCCATCCCGTGGCCGTGGGGCTGCTTTTTGTCCAGGGGGGGGGGAGCTTTTTATACTGCAAGTTTTTTTCTTCTTGTTTTTTTGACATTGATATGTTGCTGCTGTAAATCAATAAAATGCAAGTTTGTATTTATTCAGTTGAGCCTCTTTCATGGGATCCTTTTCCATCTTGCAAGATGGAATTTTCAAGGCTTCCTTTTATGGGAGGGGGCAGCCTCAGCAATTAGGCTCCAGAGCTGTGGCTAACACCAGCAGGGAGGAAGAGCAAATACCTTTGTAGGGAAGCATTCACAAGCTTTTAATTTTCAAGGAAGTGATTAAAATGCTAATGTTCGCATTTAACACCGGGAGGCAGCCAGCATTTAAGTGAAAGCTAGACAGCCACCTGCACTGGCAGGGTCTACACCCCCCCCCTCCAAATATGCCATTTCACTAATATTCTACTCCCTTGGAATAAAGACCCAGCTTTCAGGAAGCATTTGGCTCAGTAAAAGCCCAGCGTGGCTTCCTCCTCCCTCGGTGTGTAAACAAGGCCGCCTCATTTAATGCCATTCCAGCCCTCAAAATCTCCAGCCAAGCTCTTGACCTCACCTAACAGGTTCAGATCAGGCTTTGGCTGAGGCCGCTTGGGTGGCTGAGAACGTGCAAGAATTCCAGGACAGGGAGAGGCTGGGGCTTGTTCCCAAAGGCAGAGAGTTTGGGGGACTGTTTTGGTCCCTAGAGGGCACCCTCAACCTGTAGCATCTTCATGGGAGCTTCTCTTGGGGTCATGCCAGGTCGATGAAACCTTCTGCCTTTCCCCCCCAAAGCCTTTTGCATTCAGAGGGATGGAGCATCCGTGGTCTGAGACCTTCGAAAAGAATCTTGGAGACATTTGCACAGAGGGAATGCAGCCTCTTTGCACTTCCTTAGTGAGGAGCTGGTCCAAGGCTGGGTTATTCTTGCCCAGCCCTGGCTCTAGGAGGGTTCTGCACCTCTCGCCCCTCCGTCACCCCCGGAGGAAGACCCCAAGAGGCTTGCCAGCTGTGCTGTGCTTGTCACTGCTAAGGGAGAAGCGGCCTTTGTGAGCAACAGAAATGACACAAGACGTCATGAATGGACATGGTGTGGTTAGAAGGTCCCCATCAGCCCACCTAGAGGCCTGGCCTACGATGCTGTGTCCTTCAGGAGACAGAACAAAACCCTGGGGGGAAGGCTGGGAGCCCCGCAAGGGCCAGGGACGCAGGGACGCCTTCTCCAAGGCAAAAGCTGGGGTGCTGCTGCCCTCTGTCGGCTGGTTCTTGGGAGGGAGCCATCCCCAAATTACACCACGGCTGGTCCTCAACCGTCCTACACAGATGCTTTCTGGTATTCATTTCTTTCTCTTCCTGTCACTCTGTTGCCTTCCCACAGCGCACTGCATTTACACCATCCGTTTAAGGGAGCTTTAGACACACAACAGCTTCACAATTTTCTCTACTGATGTGTTAGTTCTTACCCATTTGGCTTCTTCCCTCAAGATACTTCAGAAGTTTTAAAAGTTTGTGGACTCTCCCAAAGTAGAACACGGTATTGTGAAATGAGCACTTCACTGAGCGACTGTAGCCCACCCTGAGGATTTCTCAGGAGTTTTGCTTCTCTGTGGCTGGAATCTGAGATACGGAGCAGAGCTGACCTGAGACCCCAACCCCTTTGAGTCAGGCCAGCCTGGACTCGGATTAAAATGCAGACTAGCGGGTGTCTAAAAAGCTAACCTTTCCCTTCCGAGCGTTCAATTAGTTTGATTCCAAACTAGCAAGCAGTTTGCATTCATTAGAAATGGAATTTCGTTAAGCTAGAAAGCCAAGGCAACTATTGTTAGCCTCTTCCAAAGAGGGCAGGCGTGTGGGTGTGGGTGTGTGCGAGCAGCTCCTTTGTTGAGCAAGGCTGTTCTCAGCTCTTGTGGGGTGCTTAGCTAGAGGTCCCTCTGGACCAATTAAAGGATTGTGAAAGATTATATCATTTTCTACCCATTAAAAGCAGCAAATGAATTTTATGAACTCATTTCTTAAGACTTAACCTACTTACAGGCAGAAGGAGAACCAACTAATCTTTCATGGATCACCTTTGTAAAAAGGGAAGGGCAAATCTCTCCAGGCTTCCTTTTGCAGATTCTGCCCCCCCCAAAAAAAAACCACACAGAAAAACTTCCCCCCTTCCAAATGTGGGGAGTTTTGCATGCCTGCCTCATACCAAAAGTTTCTCTAACATTATAAACCTTATTAGGTTTTCTGCATGAGGTTTTTTAACCTTAGTGCAGAATTAGGAAATATATACAGTTTACCATGCATGTTTCTAAAAATTCAGACTGGGGGAGGGGCATATTATACATGCCAGTGGCCCAAGTGCCTGAATTTCGTTAACGTGACCCCTAGGATGCTGTGCCAGTCGTAAGTGCAAGGACCAGTCATAAGTCACTTTTATCAGCACTTCAACAGTCATTAACTGAGGATTACTTGCATTGCATTTTATCAAAATTTGCCAAGGGGGCAACAGTCTGTCTGCTTCAGCACACATCTGGCTCCCCCCAAAGGATATTCCAAGAATACTGAAGGTGGATGGCCTCTGTCCACTAGACCCTCCTACCATTCCTGCCACTTCCGTTTTCATTGATTAATATGCAGCTCAACCCTCTCCATTTTCACCAGTTTTGTTCCTACAAAGATTGACTAGTTGGGTCTTTTTTGGGGGGGGCATTTTACTGACCAAGGGATCTTAGACTAGTTGGGAAGTATTTTGATTCTGGCAGGTGGACTTTATGTTCCTAAAAATGAAGGGCTTTTAAACGCCGCCTTCTTCCCTCTTCCCAACCGGTTTGGATAGAGCTGAAATTCCCTCTAACAATATTCTGATTCTGCCCCGAAGGAACCTTCCTTTATTTGGTGGTCTTTCCCTCCTCAATCGAGGGACATCCATGTTTTCCCTCCCCACTCCTGCCCCTTTGACAGTCTTGCCCTTGAACTGAACTGGTGAATAGTTCTTGGAAATGCCAAAGAATTCCAAGTACTGTCCTGAAATCCTTGGGCCTTCTCCGGTTATTGCCACCCCGGCTTTTCTCAAGCCAACTGCTTCAATCGTTCAAAGAAAATGGTCTCATTTTCTCCACTTCCGGAAGACCCCTCGTCCCTGTCCAATTTACAGTCTGCTTCTGCTGTTTTTAAGCATGGGTTTCCCCCCCCCCAGGACTCAGTGCAGGCAGACTGGTGATAAAACCTACAGAATTTTGAGGGGGGGGGAAATCTCCCCAATTCTTCCCAGCTGCTTCCAATGCTCTCCAAGGCAGGAAGCAACACTCCTCCTTTATGGTGCAGGGTTCCCTTGGGTGTCGGCGGAGGAGACTTGTGTGACTTGTTAATGCATCGCTTTACACCTCTTGGAATTCTCTTTGCAGCTTTCCAAGCTGATTAAATATTTGTGGTTAAACATAGAAGCGATCAGACCCACAGGACTGGTAGATAAATGCTAAAATATTTGCTCTGAGCTACATTTTTCTGATGTCTACTCAAAAATAACTTCAATGAAAACAAGGATTTCCAAATACTACTTTCTTATCACCAATTGCAAGAGATTTCACAGAAAAAGGTCTCTGGGGAGTAAATTGCAACTCAGAATGTTTTTTTTTTCCCCTCCCCGGCATAGTTTTAATACAAGATGTTGGGAAATTACACAAAGACTTTTGCAAACAGCAGGACTCCCGCTCAAAAGGAGGGGCCTCCTGGAAGAAGCCCACAGTGGACCTATTTGCCCAGCCGCGCTGAGATACAAGCCACCCAGCCGCTTTTTATTTCTTTCCTTCATGTCTGCTTACTGGTCTCAAAGTCAAGCTCTTGACCTCTTCCGGAGTAAATATCTAGTCTGATGCAGGAATCCAGAAATCCCAGCC